TCCTATTCAAAGCATTCATGCAACCGTGCGTTGCTAAATACTAAAATGTTGTAGATCGCACATGTCTTAATAGAACACAGCAACATAGCAATGTTAACAACATCTCTATTTGATAATATTCTATCGTATAATACAGTCGCATGGCAATATCAAAACTAATTTACAACATCTTTATGTTGGGCCTGGCACATGCCTTCACCCGCCTAGTATTATTATATTCCAAAGTAGCATGACGAAAACACCAAGAAGAATTTAAAAGAAAGAAAAAGGGACAGCTATACAATGTAGCATACATAAGAATACCGTAATAAGTTGATATCTCAGATATAATCTTGTATTTCCTTGCATAAGCTTGGGTAAGGTTTTCGTACACACTATCTTTTCCGGGCCCCACTAATATGACTCATTGGGTTTGTTGTTGTTGTAAGCTTGAGATCCCGACTAGTGTGGTTAAAGCCATAGCTTCGTCGTTTAAAGCGATGCACAACGGAGGGGCATTGATTAATGAGCAAAGTCATGGGTTTCGAACAAGACGCGCAAAGTGATCCCAACAAGAAGTGGTCAATTCTTTGGACCTCAACTTTGAGAAGTTTGATGTTAGAGCATATTGAATGGTGAAAATAGTTATTCACTTGCAATTTGAGTATTACAACAACAATAACGCCCAGTGTATTATCACAGTGTAGGGTCTGAGGAATGTAGGGTGTACACAGACCTTATTCCTACCTTGTGGAGGTACAGAGACTGTTTACGATAAATCTTTCGCTCAAAGAAAGCATATACGATTTGATTATTATAGTACTATATTCTGCAAGTTTAATATTTTCTTTTAATTTCAAGAACTATGCACTTCGCCTCAAAGAAGTTGTGTGCTTCGTTTCTCGCTTTTTACTTCAAACACCATGGACCTTGTTGCTTTTTTATGCTTTTCGCTTTTGAAAACATTGAATTTCCACATTTTATCAGGCTTGTACTAATAAGGATTCATAATACTATCCCAGAAAATCTTTTCCATTCTCTTTCACTCTAGCCTATAATGACAGTCACAGAGGCAGAGCTAGGATTTTAAGCTTATGGGTTAGAAATTCTAATCGTTTTAAGTTACTGGGTTCTAAATTAATAATTTATACAATATTTAATAGATTTTTTAAGTCGAACCAAAGCTACTGGGTTCGACCGATCCCGTTCCTGACACTATAACTCCGCCTCTGATGACAGAGCAAGTTGTTGTAGGTAATTCTCTCAATTTATTTCAAACAGCTTAAAAAGTATGTTTATGTTACCATATACTACGAGAACTAGCCAAATTGATATTTCTATTTTACTTATTATTTTGTCAAACTAACTCGAAATCTAGTATCAACTTGTCATTTATAAAATTATATTAGAGGTAAAATATTAACTACAGGGACGGATCTAGTGCATTAGCAACTGTGACAGAGTTTGAATTTAGTATCAGTATTGGTATAAAAATAGATTTTGAACCCAAAAGATTAAAATAAACTATGATAGAATTTTGAACTAGAACATGTAATAGTTACTTGTGTTGTAACATATGGACCTACCAAAATAGTTGATTAGAAAATCAGTTTTATTAAATGTGCAATTACCAAACTTTTGTTAGTACTAGGTTGTTTTTTTGTATAAGGCTATCCAAATTAAGCTTTGTGCGAAAAGGATTTTGGATCTGAATTCCCCAATTAATTATTAATTGTTCAATTTAAATTAAATATCGGTGCAGACAAGTATTTATTCAACTATGTTTGGAATTCCACATTTTAAAAAAAGATGTAAATTTTTAGCCTAAAAATAGAATATTTCAATCATGTAATTAATGCTTATACATTTCACCTTAAACCCAAACATCTCTCTGATTTACTAATTATCAGAAGCTATTTAGATATTAAGTCTAAACATGAATTATTCCGGAATGATTTTTTTTTTCTCCAAATAAGATATTAATTTAGAAACAATGGCGTGCATAGTGCATCGGTGAAAGTTTTCCCAAAAATTGGTTTGATGAGCAAAGAGAGAATCAAGGGAAAGCATTATAAGTCCGAGGTAAAAATAGCACGGTCTAGCCAGTTTTCGAACTGGTCATTCAAAAATAGTCAGCGTTTACCAAGTCAATGAAAAATAGCCAATATTTTGCTGCAACAGAGACCGGTCCAGCATAATATACTGGAGTTCGGTGCACCTGTGTATGAACTTCCAGCATATTATGCTGGACCGGTATACTTTGCTGGCTTAATATACTGGAGACTGGAGCACCGGTGCTCCAAATTCCAGTATATTATGCTGGACCGCTATATTATACTGGAACTCCAGTATACTAGACTGGAGTTCCAGTATAATATGCTGGAGTATTTTTCCGGATTTTGAACAGTGTTTTCATTCAGATTTATCTTTACATAAAAAGTGGCTAAATTTCGATTACTTTTGAAACTGGCTATTTTTGAACGACCACTTATAAATCTGGCTATTTTTGAATTTCTGCCAAGTCCGAGCAATCACCAAAAACATATATTTACAAGATTAATTAAACAAAAGAGTATTAGAAAGGGCAAACTAGTCTCATGATTCTTTTACTGAACGAAAAATAGGTTAAAAGAATTGTTACATAAAAATCAAAATAAGAAAGGTAAGAAGAGAGTATTAAGGTAAAAAGAAGAGAGTAGATTTTGCCAATACATAAGTGATTGTATACCAACTCAGTTAACCAAGTAGTCCAATTTTGTGGTTAAATAGCAAGCAAAGCATATTAATTTTTTTTCAAAATAATTATCATAATATTATTTATTTGAGTGTGATTTTATGGTCAATAAAGTGAGAGGAGAACCATAATATTTTAGTTCAAACTCACGCAGGGATTACAAACACTTGATAATTTCTTTCCATTTGCCCAAACATTTGGACAAAGTTAGCCAATAAAAAAGAGAGCTAGAATGGTAATCCTATTACAAATTAAGATAGAATCTGAAAATTGAAGTTTCTTTAGAAAACATTATCCTCTATTTACACTATAGTTTATCATCCCAAAATTTGTCTTACTTTGATATATTAAAAAAAATTTGATAGTAATCTCACTTCACGAATTGCTGATATTGATCCAAGAAAGAAAGACGGTGGCCACTTGAAGAACGAAATAGATCTTTTCTAGTTTATACTTTTAGCGCCACAGCGATTTCACATTACTATTTCATATTTGTAACAACAAAAATTGAATTTTTGAGGCCCAAAAAAACTTAATAATGAATTTTGTGATTTTATTTTTGCTCGGACAATGTTAAAGTTTGTAGAAAAAAAGTTAATTTTAATTAAACTACTCAAATCTTAATATTAGCAAAAAAAATTTCGTAACACGATCCAAGGTAATGTATTTAAATATATGGCTAACACCTTATTAAATTAAATAAATCTTCTAATATAATAATATTATTATGTGAAGTTAAAAAGGATGTGTCTTGTAAGAATACCACATTATAGAAAACAAGTATAAGTAAAAAAAGAAAATGAACTCTCATTTTAGTATATGTATGTGAGACTAGTCTGGTAGGGTTTTTGTCTAAGATAGCTAGTGGCGATGTCGTGTCTTAATATTTCGCTTTTCAGTGCCGGACCTATTTACTAGTTATCGCTTTTGCTTTGCATCTTTCTTCTGGATTTCATGCTGTTCCTATTTTTTCTATGATTTCTGTGGCGGTACTGATATTGTCTCTTTTTGTCTTTTTGTCCTCTTGAGCCCAGGGTCTTTCAAAAACAGCCTCTATACCCCTTCGGGGTAAGGGTAAGGTCTGCGTACACATTACCCTCCCCAGACCCCACTAGTGGGATTTCACTGGGTCGTTGTTTTTGTATGTGCATATATATATTAATTCTACCAAATAATTTAAGTACTCTTTTTAAAATTTGACTTTAGGCCACTAATAATATGTCCTTGATAGTGGATGAGGGCAATTGGCATCAGCAAGGCCACATTCTTCAGATCAAGGATTTTGTGACCGACATAGTCAACCTGCCTACAAGAGTTATTGGGTTTGATAACCTTTATGGTGAATCTAATCCATGGGTTAAGTTTCCTAACTCTTTCAACCGCCCTCTAATTTCTTGTGTTCCTTGCTTATGGATTGGGTTAGAATAGTCGGGTTTCCATGTTCCTTCTCCCACAGTCCTAGATACTCGTTCATTACTTGGGTGTACCGCCTCAGAGTTCTGATAACGAATTTGACGTCTGGAGTTGAATGATATCCCCACGTTGCAGCCTGAAAGATTTCACAGAGGTTCCAATTTCCATAAACAACATCCGCGTTGATTATATTTGCGGGGGGAATGAATGTATCACTTGCATAGTCCTCAAGAATGTCGAGGACTACATTATCAGCAGGTTGAAATACCCACCCCCTAAACACCAGATCATTGATGAGTTCCATTGTTGTGTTTTAAATCTAGAGTTTAGGTAAGTAGGGGAAGAAGAGTACTGAATTCTTACAGAAAAGAAAATGAATTGCAGTGTGTTATGTTCTTGAAGAAGTAGCAGAGAAAATCAATTGCAGTGCGTTATGTTCTTGGAGAAGTAGCGGAGAAAATGAATTGCAGTGTGTTATGTTCTTGGAGAAGTAACAGAGAAAATGAACGGCAGTGTGTTATGTTCTTGGACAAGTAGCAGAGAAAATGAATTGCAGTGAAAATATTACCCATTCTTTTGGGATGTGAGAAGTGTTTGTTATATATCTGTATGAAGTAACAAAGATACCAGAGCTCCATTACGTCCACCGCCTTTGTCATACTCTGTAGGGTTAATTTTCTCTATGCAAATTAGTGTTGATTTTCCTTCTCGAATTTTACTCTCTTATCATTTTCTTTTCACTTTTACAACAAAATCGTTTGCGTTAGCCAAAATACCATTTCATAATTGCGACGTTTCTTTAAACAGTTGGGATATGTACCCTTGGGCAACGGTTCTTTGTAAAAGATTATCTATGGCAACAATGTTATTTGCCTCTTATTTCCTCCCAACTATGCACCTCTGTTATATGGGTTTTCTATTTTTTATTTTAGCACTAATTTTGCATTACCTTAGTCGAAAATCTTCCTCTCCCAAAATCTCCCAACAAACCCTACTTTCCGCAATTTTCCTCTCTTCGTCGGCTTTAGCTATCAATTCTTAAAATTATATTTACTGCTACATAAGTCTCTCTCATGCTAAAGACCCTAAAATAGTACCACAGTTTGACGGAGAAATTGAGTGAAGAACGACTCTTAGATCTCTAGATCTGCATCGCCGTCGTAAGTCTCTCCAATCTCTTTAGCATGTACTATTTTGCTGCATTTATCCCATACTCGAAATTATAGAGTTCATTTTGTTTGTGTGAGAAAATGAGGTCCCAGATGTATTAGAAGAAGATATCTATAGATCTTTAAGAACAATTTGAATTGAATATTTTTTTTTCTAAATTGGGATCAAAATCAACAGCTAGAATCATTACTATAGGTTGATAGGGTTTTAAGATGGTTGTATACGGTCGAAATCAGGTATGCCCGATTTCACAGGCTCGAAGAGTCGCCTCAAGCCCGAATTCGGGATGGATTGAGTTCGAACCCGCTGGACCAAGTTCGAGCCTCATGACATAATACGAGGCTCGAATATCGAAGTGTGCGATGAGCACCGAAGCCGAGTATGACCAACCCCGAGATAATGCCGTTATGGGTTTGTAACAGAAAGAGCAAGATTCCCGCAACATCCCCAAGATCATGCCGTAAATACCGGAATAGATTTTTACGAGTTAGTACGAATCTGTACTAGGCGGTTAGACAACTGTCCCAATAAGATTCCTTACTGTAAATAGAAATGTACCTTATTTTAGGGTTCTCCTACTATATAAAGGGGACCCCAATCATTTGTAACGCATCATCAATCATTGTCAAAAGAATATACTCTCTTACTTTCTTGCTCATTACTCATCAGAATTGTCTCTTAACTTTATTGTCTTTACTTTACTGTTCTTCTTGACCTACCTCGAGGCCATCTAGCTCAAGGTCAAGACTTGCTTAAGCACTGGTTTGATTCAACTTTCTTCTCTAATTTATATGTTTGATTTCTTGGTTAGTATTGCACTAAATCACATATCTTTAAAACCACAAACAAGTTTAATTGTTACTCGTATTTTCGAGGTAAACAATGGTCTTGCATTCATTATTCTTAGTATTTGTGGCTAACCGTCAACCTATTACTATACCTTTCTTCTGTATCTAACTTGAGAGAACCTACGTTCCATGTGGCAGGATACTATTCTACCACTAGACCATTGGTGCATTTTGTTTTAAGATTGTCTTTTTTTTATTTATACTCTTTAATTGTATTTTCGCACGAAAATAACCGACCAAAGTTGGTCGATTTTATTAAAAAATAAAATTACCGACCAAAGTTGGTCGGTTTTTTAAAATGACCGGCCGAATTTACCAACCAAAGTTGGTCGGTTTTTTTAATATTAATTTTTATTTATTTTAATTGCAAAAACTGACCAAAGTTGGTCGGTTTCTTGAAAAATAAATTTCGCGGGACTCAAAAATAGTTTCCCGCATTTTTGCACCAAAGAAAACTGACCAAAGTTGGTCGGTTTCGTAAAAAAAAAAATTAAAAATTAGAATATTTTGAAAACCGACCAAAGTTGGGCATACAAATTTTGAAGTGGTTCGACACTGGGCATGCTTTTATGGTTGATTATGGTTGTACAACTCTTTCTAATGATCCTTTAAGTTCTACAAAACTTGTTGGAGTTCTGGTTGCTATAATGTAGACTTGCTGGTTGCATTCAATGGTGCACTTAGAGATGAGATTCATGTCATTTTATTATCTTGGTGTCTTGATGCTTCCCAAGCAGATTATTTCAGTGATGTCATTTCTATAGGGTCACTTCAAGCTTTAAGCCTTGGAATTCTTGTGGTTGCTTCAGATGATAATCAAGGAAATCCAAGTTTATATACAAATTTAGCTCTATGGATATTCTTTGTTTCTGCCAGTTAAACTAACTTAGATTTTACACCTGCAGTAGACAACAAGTTTAGTTTATATGATTCGGTCATAATGTGGTTAGAAGGAATTCCTGACTCGAATCTTGAGGGAAAGGTTCTTATTGAGGACGTAGGTATTGTTATGAATCAAAATAGTTGCGATACCACATTTGGGCTTCTGGAAAATTACGTATGGACCCTGGCTGAAAATAGAGCATGTGCCATGCACGTGACTGTGGAGGAGAAAGTTGAAAAGTTGCAACAGCTTAAACGTTAGAAGCAAACATGCATGCGATCATTAAACAACCATCAGTTTGGTCATGGTGCTTCTACCAGTTAGGGAAAGATAAGGCGCCTTGCAAATAATTTCATAAATAATAATCCAAAATTAAAACATTATCAGCCTCCGATTTAGCACCTACAGGAGTCCTAGTCTTTGATTTAGCATACAACAGCCATGAAATTGCAAAATAAAGAAAGTACTGCGAAGAACTCAGAAAACCAAGGAAATCTAAAACTCAACACGCTTAGAGTTTAAAAGTACAGTTTTACCACTCCATTTAACAATTAAAAATCATAAATAGAAACCAAACATTAAAAGAAGGAAAAAAGGATCCGGGGAAAATTAGATCTGCTGCTTGAGTTTTGCAGGCTCCATTCTTAGTGTAAGATATATGTGCTGCTAATTTTTTTTTTACTATTATTTTCTTGTGCGCACCTAATTGGAGAATTATATAAGATTGTATTAGTGAAGTAGAGAAGCAACATAGACATTAACATTTTTTTGATGCATTCAGCCTTGATGGAAGATAGTGGAGATTTCAAGAGGAAGGTACAAGAAATAACCTCAAGATTCAAAAACGGAGTGACTGATATCAAGAAGGCAAATATTTCATAATAATCTCTACTCTGTATGTGTGGTGTGGTGTTTCATAGAAGGTAGGAAAAATACTTTCGCACATGAGAAGTAGAGCTTAAATCTGGAGATATTAGAGGTAATCTCCTTTACTGTACGATAAGCTATTTTTTACACCATGTAATCCAAATCTTGGGCCAATTTTATGCATGTCTCTGTTTTAGTATATTGAATCAAGATCAATTTTCTTTGTCTTTTTTTTTGTTGCATCGTAATACTAATAAGTTGTTTAACTTTTTCTTACTTTGCAGGTGGTATTTCCTCTAATAATGTCAACACTCTAGATGAGATATATCATGTATGTGAAAAGGTAAAGAAATGCACTTAAATGCTTGCTCAGCTAAAATATAATTTATTTTAGGCTTCTCTTTGTTGACAAAACTAATTTTATACGTATAATTTTTCAGCTGAAGCTGCCTAAGCCATGGTTTCGACCTGGCTGCTTAGTGTCATTTGAGAAAAAGCTAAGGGTATTTCAGACTTTCACTGAACTTAATGCAACGTGGCTCAAAACCTCAAACGGAATATCCACGTATCATCGGGTCACTTTGGTTCTTTGTATATTCTTCGGGAATTTTTTAAGTTTTATGTGATGATCCGAAAGTTCATCACTTGTTTTAGAAATAAATTCTGTGTTTCGAGGCGTAAAACCTTCTTTTTGTTTCACCTCGATTTGCGTGCGCGGTCCGGGCGTATATCCGAAAAGCCGTTATGTGAAAATCTGTGAAAAATAGTAAATTTTGCTTCTAAAATGAATTGGAGTTGACTTCGGTCAACATTTTGGGTAAACGAATACGGACCCGTAATTTGACGGTCCGGGAGGGTCCGTAGGAAAATATGGGACTTGGGGTATGCCCGGAATCGAATTCCGAGGTCCCAAGCCCGAGAAATGAATTTTTAAAGAAAATTATTTTCTGAAATATATATGAGTTTTTGGAAATTTGAATATTTTTGAGATTGATGGTATCGGGCCCGTATCTTGGTTTCGGAGCCCGGTACAGGTCTTATATGGCGTTTAGATTGAGCCTGTAAAATTTGGTAAGAAACGGAAGTCGTTTGATGTGATTTGGACCCGTAGTTGTGAAATTTGATACTTTGGGAGTTTTGAGATTTTCCCTTGATTTCTATACTAAATTCATTGTTTATGATGTTATTTTGGCGATTTGATCGCACGAGTAAGTCCGTAGGATGTTTTTGAGGTTGTGTACATGTTTGGTTTGGAGCCTCGAGGGCTCGGGTGAGTTTCGGATAGGCGTCGGAGTGTTTTTGGACTTAAAAATCTGGTGTTTTTGCTGTTTGCTAGTATCTGAGTTTTTACTCTATGCGAATGCGTGGTAACCCACGCGAACGCACTGAACAAATTGGGAGAGGGGCAGGTTTGCACTATGCGATCGCATAGAATCAGGTGCGAACGCGGAGCCTTAGGAGTTCACTCTACGCGAACGCACCCGGGCTGTCGCGAACGCATAGAATAGGAGAGGGGCTGGGGGCTGGGTAGTTGTAACCTTATGCGAACGCAGCCCTTAGCTCGCGAACGCGTAGGTCTAGTTAGTCAACCCTATGCGAACGCGGCCAAAGGCACGCGAACGCAGTGAATAAATGCCCAGTTATTTTAAAACAGTAGCAAAACGGGATTTCTTCAAAACCTCATAACTTTTTCACTTAAACTCAAACTTGGGCGATTTTTGAAGAGGGATTTCACCACAAAACCATAGGTATGTGTTCTTAGACTCGTTTTCTTCAATTTCCATTAACACCCATTAGATTTCTAGGCCTAAATTATGTTCTTAAGGGTAGAAAATTAGAGTTAGGGCTTTTTGATTAATTGGGATTTAGACCTCGTTTTGGGGTTGGATTTTGAAACTAATTGCATATTTGGGCTCGTGGGTGAATGGATGATCGGGTTTTGGTCCGAACCTCGTGTTTTGACCATGCGGGTCCGGGGTCGATTTTTGACTTTTTGGGGAAAATGATAGAAAACCTATAATTTAGCATTGGATTGAATTATTTAGCATTTATTGATGTTGTTAAATTAATTTGGACTAGATACAAGTAATTTGGAGGCGAATTCTAAAGGAAAAGCGGTGTTTGAGGCTTGAGTTGGCATGGAAGTTCGAGGTAAGTGTTTGGTCTAACCTTAGCTTGAGGGATTATGAGTTGTGTCTTAATTGCTATGTGTTAACTGTGGAGTACGACGTATAGGCATGGTGACGAGTATCTATATGTCGGTGTCGAGCATGCCCGTGAGTCTTGTATTGTAATTGTTATGACTCTGTTGTGGTTTATTCGTGCTTCATATGAGGATTATCATTATTGTTCCCTTGTCGGGATGTTGATGTTATATTACTGTTCTCTTGCCGGGATGTTGATGTTATATTACTGTTCCCTTGCCGAGATGGTGTTGCTATATTATTGTTCCCATGCAGGGATATTGTTGTTATATTATTGTTCCCTTGCCGGGATGTTATTGTTATATTATTGTTTTCCTTGCTGAGATTCTTTTATGATTGGTGTTGAAATATGAAATGGGAGCGGGTTGCACGCTTGCGACGGTAATATATGAAATGGGAGCGGGTTGCACGCATGCAAAGGTAATGTATGAAATGGGACTATATGAAATGGGAGCGGGTTGCACGCCTGCAACAGTATTATATGAAATGGGACGGGTTGCACGCCTGCAATGGTATTACATGTGTACTTGTTCCGTATTTCCTTATCTTTTGCTGGTAATTGATTTATGGCGTTCCTTACATTTCTCTATTGGTATTCTGTTGTTATCTGTTACTCTCCGCAGCATGTTTCCCTCGCCCAACTTTAGTTGTAATTATCTGCTTTTGTTTTCCACTACATATGATTTAACTACACAAGTTTATTTGGTAGTCTGGTCCTAGCTTCGTCACTACTTCGCCGAGGTTAGGTTAGGCACTTACCAGCACATGGGGTCGGTTGTGCTGATACTACACTCTGCACTGTGTGCAGATACTGATACCGGAGCGTTTGGACCGCAGTGAGGGTGCTGTCTTGAGTCCATTCAGGCGACCCGAGGTAGTCCTGCAGACGTCCGCGGGCCTTGGCGTCTCCTCCTATCTTTTCTCCTTCTGTTTTTTTTTACTTATTCAGAGATAGATTTGTGTATTTCTATTCAGACCTTTATAGTATTCTTAGATAGTCAGTGACTTGTGACACCAAATTCTGGGTAGTATTGTACTTCAAATTATGTAGCAGTGTTTGGTTGAACTATTAAGATTTTGTCTTTCGCATTTCTGGTTATTTAATGTATTCCGCTGTTTAATCACTTATTACCTTGAATTGTTGAACATGCTTAAATTAAAAAAAAAAAAAGGGTTATGATTTAATAATATTCGGCTTGCCTAGCTTTCACGAGTAGGCGCCATCACGATTCCTGAGGGTGGAAAATCCCGGGTCGTGACATTTTAACAAGAAATATCAACTGAGTTACAACTCTGGTCTTTCAAGAAAGGGGGTTTATCTAAGTTCCACTAACGTATTGTAGACTTAGAGCTAAAATTTATTCATCAAATATACAAAATAAATATGAAATTTAACAACGAAGAGCATACACTTCCCAAAGTTTCGGCAGTTGTCCTAATGATTCAGGGGTTGGTGATTGTAATTGGTTTTTCTCCTCCAAGTGTCTTTTGCCTGGCAGGAGGAGACGAATTTTCAGCCTTTCATATAAGTTAAAAATAATGCAGTAAGTAAGAGTGGTAGGAAGAAGAAAAACAAATGGAAACTTACCGAGTTTGTAGGTTCTTGAAAGGTCAAATTAAATATATGACCTATAAATTCATTGGTTCCAAGCCACCTTTAAATGAGTAAACTTTTGAATTAGTGTAATCATTCGTAGATTGAGCCGTATAATATGATAAAAGATTATTGCTTACTTATAGGTAACTGAGTGCACTTAACTTAGGTATGTTTGGTGTCAATGATCTAGAATTACCAGCGTTATTTAAATTACTTTCATCTCAAAACATAGTCAAGTGCACAATATTGTATCAGAAAAGTAGTTAAATAATTAATGTTATTCCTGGATGGAATAGAGAAGGTAAACTTACAAGGAGATATTCATATTGTAAGAGCATATAACTGTACTTCACGACGTGTAACTTCAACGTGAAATCCCAGGAACGCAACATTTTTGGAAAGATGATAGAGCTTGCAATAGACAATACTTTAGCGAAGATATGCTTCGATCGGAAGTGATGAAACAACCTCCATGTCATTGGGTTGTTCTGCAAAGTCGAAAGCTTATTTGGCCTACTTGATATTTACAGTAACTAGAAATGTACTTTGAAAACTATTTGCTCACTTTCTTCAAAATCCTACTCTTTGTTCCTTACTCATCACTTTGGAGCTGTCTTACTGCTACCTCCAGTATCTACTACTACCTTTTTTCACTTCTTTGGCATGATCATTTCTATTATACTTTTTGACCTTTGTTAATTAAAGTACTCTCTTCAATAAATGAGCTCTCTTTGTTAAACAGACACAATTGTAACTTCATGTGCAAAGATATTGGAAAAGAGATGCGATTTAAAGATGAAATCTGCAATAAAATTTCAAGCGTACCGTTCCATTTTAAATTTTTTAGTTGTCTAATCTAAGACATCTAATATTTTTATCTTACTATAAAATCTACAAGAACTATATTACTGAGATAAGTCTGCATTTAGTCTACTTTCATATGAACATTGATAAATGATCATTACTTTGTGATTGTGCAGGTGTTTTTTATCAAGGACGGTTAAGAAGAAGACTACTTCGCTTGGGAGATGCATCACTTTTTGCCAGTACGTAAATAAAGTATAAAGTGTAAATATATGAGTGAATATTTTGTTCAAAACTGTATGTCAATTAGCATGATGATGTTGGGCGTGCTACCGCTACGCATTCTTTTATCTGTCTTTGAACAGATTTGTTATAGTACAGTAGCAAGATAAACCTGTTATGAATCCAAATAATGCTTACTAAAGCAATACCGCTATGAAGGCGCACTATAGGCCATTCCCTAATGGGTGGTATGCATCATTTTCTAATAGAATCATATATTTGTTGGCTGGATGTCGAGCTGGATTGTCTTTGCATTGTATCCTCTCCATCGGACCAAAAATAGAGTCGATGACCACTTGAATCAATTTGACAAAACAACTATAAATGGTACTTGGTGCTCAGCAATACCACAAGTCTTCTAATAATTTGCCTATTATGTTTGGGATTTGGGGACAGACTTCTCAGTTTTGATTCTTTCCTGTTCAAGATTTCCCCGTTTCAAATTAATTAGCACGCCCTGCATGAAAGTCTGATAATCGGTGTGAGCACGTGATTTTTGCCCTATATGAATTACTCTCAGAAATTCAAAACAAAATAATTTCTTTCAGTATTTGCAATTTTGTGAATTTTTCGTGGCATTTTATGATAATTGTTTGCATTTTTGTCTGTGCATTTTAATTAAATGAAAAATAAAAAAAATGTGTTACATATGCATTTAGGGGTTAATTTCGCATTTTAAGAATTAATTAAGGAAATTCATAAATATAGTTCAATTTGCATTTTTATTTTTTTATTTTTTTATTTTGAGTAGTTTTCATTTTAAAGTTGTTCATTAATGGTGATAA